CCCCCCACTGCGATGCCACGGGCTCCTTTGCAAAGCAAGGGGGGGAAATTTTCCACCAGGGCAGGCTTGCTTCTCGCTGCTTTGCTCTCCCGTCTGCCCCCCTGCTCTCTGCTGCAGGGGAAGAGGCTGCAGCAGGCGGGAATGCAACCGGCAAGTCTCCCCAGGCAAAGCTGGGGAGAGTTGGGGAAGCTCGACCTGTTGGACGTCTGCCTAGGCAAGCGCAGGAACCTTCTGGCAGCTGTGCTGGACATGCGGGGCCCCCTTGCAGAGCCTCCTTCCCCTCCCCAGCCCAGAAGGAGGGGGGCCTCGGGGCAGCGGCACCCCCGCGCTTGCTTTGGGGGACCTACCTGCCGAAAGAGCCCGCGCCGTACAGCGGAGCCAGGGCTCAACCCGGAAGCGCCCTCGCCAGAGCGCCGCCATGTTGTACGGCAGCCTCGCCTCGCTTCAGGACCCCTGCGGGGGCGCGTCGTCCCTGAGGCAGGTGTCTGAAGAAGTGCCTGACGGCTCCTGCCGACGTCTCCGAGGTCCCTGCCCTTTGCCCTCCCGGGGAAAGGGAAGACGAGGCGGGGAGAGAGAGGGGGCTCTCGCCCTCCTCATGGCTGGAAAGGAAGAGCCTCACCGGCGAGGCGGGACGAGGTGGGAGGCAGGCACTTGGGTGGGCGCCAATATCAGAGGGCCCGCGCGGAGGGGGGAAGAGGAGGAAGAGGAGCTTCTGCTGCCCGCGGGGGCGTGGCTTTGCCCTCTGCCTCCCCTTAACATGGGTACAGTAATGATAAGACGTTGCTAATACTATTGCAATAATATTTATTATAACTCCTCTATGCATGTCTATTGTAACCCAAACCTTCGCAACAGTGTTCCTATATTCTTATTTATTGCTGCTTCTCTGGTTCAGCTCTCGCATTGTATCCTCCTCCTGTTGTTTTAGCACAGCTTTACTTTTGGACGTGGCGGGGCTTGGGGGCTATTTTTAAGGGCCCATTAATTCGAATTTATTCATGGGAAAAAGGATGGCCCTTCTCTTCTGCCAGGGGCTCCTTTGCTTCTTGGCCGGCAGGCATCCAACAGGTGCAGTTCTCCTTGGCATTAATGCAGGGGATAGGGGCGACATCAAATTGGGGAGGAGCCTTCCCATTTATTACCCTCTAAATAATTTATATTTTTTAAATGCATGCGTTAAGACCGTCTGCCAGTGACGTCTGGCCTCCAAACTTTGAGGCTGGGGTTGATTTAAAATATTCAGCGGTTTTTATGGGGAGTAACTCATCTCCTGAAAACAGGAAACTACCAGTGCAAGTCTGGGTTTTCTCTCACTTATTTGCTGCTCGTGCTAGGGAAAGCGTGATCTGTTGAATGCCTGCCTGTGAAAAATGCAGAAACAGTTTAAGAAGAGAGGTGGCCAAGGTTTATTCCTTCCTGAATTGTTGCGGAAAATATTTTAAAAAACCAGACGAAGGGGGAAAGAAGGGAACAAAGTGTGCTCCCATCTCTCAGGAGGGTTCTTTGTCTTGAACAGGCAGACATCCAACAGATGCATATTTTCCTTGTTGCAAATGTTGGGGGGGGGGGGGGGAGGT